AGAGAGAGAGAGAGAGAGAGAGAGAGAGAGAGAGAGAGAGAGAGAGAGAGAGAGAGAGAGAGAGAGAGAGAGAGAGAGAGAGAGAAAGAAAGAGGAGTAATTACAAACATTGGTGATTAAGCAAGGAAGAGAGTAATAGCTTCCCAAAGATGGCAGTGTTGTGAAGCGATTGCACGACTAAATACGTGACAAATCAGTCGGAAGCCGCCACGAGCGGCGCGTCTCGATTAAGAATGACGCACAAGCGATGTTGGACGCAATAGTTACAAATTTATAATGCGAAGAACTCGACTTACCGGGACTGCCGAGGAAGACGGACGAATAAAGCACGCCGCGACGCGCGTCGCTCGCCGCGCGTTGCGCGTCAGGTGGCGAACTCCACTCTCTACGCGGACACCATTTGCCTGAAACATAGAAATTTTTTCTCATTAGCATCACTACATCATAGGGTACACTCCTCCCGGTCATAACGCACACAATTCCTCGTCGCGATGCTCATCGCGTCACTAATGAACGCATTTCTAAAAAAGCGCGCCAATGAGTCTTTAGAGAAAAGGAATGAACGTTGCGAGAGAAGACCGTGTCCATAAATCTCCGCTTTTCCGACAAGTCAGAGTCGTTGACACGCTTTAAGTACATTACAGCGAAGAAAGTATCGGGTAGAGTTAGCGGCTTGAATAATGAAAAATTCCTCAATGGATTTGTCTCGAGATAATGTCCGTTCGCGAGTTACACGACGTCGCAATCAAAATACTGTGTAGGAAAATCTAGACGATAACACGAAATAGCCTGTTCTCGTGTAAAAATAGATGTTCCCGTATCGATCGCCGCACGGAAGCGTTATTATGCGAGAGCGCCACGGAGAAAAAGTATGCAGAAAAGGCCGATGTGGAGGAAGCAAAAGATTCGTGATCGTCGGCGTCACGACTTCGACCAACAGGGAGGTGGAGGGAGAGAGGGAGGGAGGGAGGAGAGAGAGAGAGAGAGAGAGAGAGAGAGAGAGAGAGAGAGAGAGAAAGAGATTCTATCGCGCTCTCGACCCTACACATGTGTATGTGTGTGCATGCGCCGTTAGCGGTGCTTTCGTTCTTTTTCCGTCGGACAACATGCGACGTGTTACCCCTGCGCGATTTACTCAGCCAAGAATAATCCTACAATTATACTGATTATAATAATTACTTAAAAGTGCAAGAGAACCACTTACGCTAAATCGCGTGGCACTCGCCCGACGATTACATTACCCAGCGTGATATTAATCAATGCCATCACGTGAGGCGATTGAACGGTAAACGTGGCGAACATAAGCGCAGCGCTCGCGTAAACGGAATACCTCGTGTCCCCGACGCCTTTTCCATCGCGCTGAAGATCCCGCGCGCGAACTGACATTTTCTGAACGCACATCTGCCATATTGGACGCCGTATCAGCGCCTTATCCAAATTTATTAGCTCGAAAGTAAAATACAAATACGAGTGAGGAAAGGAGGAAAGTGCACGATATGCCGAGACGAAGAATGTTCCTTACAAAACTTCGTTCGGAATTAACGGGAGAACAGCGATCTATTGTCCGCGCGTGTTCGCGCAGCGACGCGGATATTCCGGAATTTCTACCCTCCAACTGATTTATCAAGCCGAGAGAGGAGAGGCGCCGCCGCCGCCACCACTCGCGGCTGCAGTATTGCAATTTTCCAGATGCGAAAATAGGAAAGGTATCTACTTTATTTCCAGGGAGATCCCAGCTGAATGAGGATACACGGTAAGAAAGGGTGGCGCCGGGGGATAAGAGTAAGCCGCGGAGCGAAGTAATTTCACACGAGAGAGTAGGGTCTTGCTGGGTGAGAGGAGATCCCGCGGAGCTATAGTCTTATCTCGGAAATATAGCGGGCACATCCCCCTGCGAAAATTATATTCTCGGAAAGCAGAAAATTGCTTCGCTTCAGCCCGTTCTGCACGAGCGCGCGCGGCGCACCGGTATTATTAGGTTCTCGTAACGTTTTCCTTTTTTTTTTTTGCTTTTTTTTTCACATCGCCGATTGCGTGTCGCGTCGCGTCGCGTCGCGAAATACGACGCGCCCGGGGCGTTGATTTCGCAAAATCGCGTAATCGCGAACTACTCTCGTGGACTCCGCGGCGGCCGGTTAATCCCGGATATCATTTCGAAAGCCGCGTTCGATCGGGTGTAACCAACGCGCGCGCGCGCGCGCGCGCGCGAACTCCGAGCTAATGGATTTAAAAACGAATCCAACGATGCTGATTATAGTGTGCCGAGCGAGGCACGTTTAACTCTTTCTCTCTCTTTCTCTCTCTCGATGTTACGGTCACGGTACGTCCCGTCAGTTTCTGGTTAAACGAAATGACAGGGCTGCGCCGGTGATTCGAAAATAATGGTTATTCCGGCGCTAGGGACAGCTGGGATCGCGTTAATGACAAGAGATTAGCGTTCCGACACCTGACCCGCGAGCTAAACCACCGAGACGAACGAACAAACTCCTCTTCATCGATGTCGAGTGTACAAATCGTAGGAACGAGGGACCCGAGTTAAAATTTTCATCTTACCACAGTTGAAATTTTAGGCTTACTTCTGACTTGAACTCTCTAACGTTTGATTGTCTGACGTTATAAAGTATTATTATATGTTTAATACACATAGAAATCCCACATAACGCCTTCAAATGGCAGAAAATGCTACCTGTAGGTTCTGAAGAGGACCTCTAAAGTAAGATGAAAATTTCGGCTCAGATATTTTCAACATCAATTAAATGTTCCATTTAACGTCTACTTTAATACTCTGAGGCCTATATTGATCTTTTTTGATTCCATTTAAGCAGTTTTGCCGAGAAGCCCTATTTTAGTCCTCCAAGTAGCATTTTCTGCGTTTTCTGCTATTTAGAGGCGCTACGTAGCACTTATATTCCCACATGTATTAAACACACACTGATCTTTTAGAATATACAGATGTTTGAAAGTTCAGAAGTCGAAAGTAGGGACAAAATTTCTACTCGGGGAGGAGAAACGTGGCGAGACGAGGTGAGCGCGCGCGTACGTATCCCGGAGATGCAAGATTCCCTCCACTTGAACGTGGAATATCATTCGTCGCCGTGGAAGCCGTCTTTCCGCGCCGCGGATAAGTGAATAAACGATATATCTGGATTATTCAAAGTCATTTGCTCGCGTTGCCGACCCATTACGCACCGGCGAACCATACGTCACCGGCGTTCCGAAGTCCTCGGAGGCGCAGAGGACTTTGGATACCTGTAGAATCCTAGGGCGGAGGTGGGGCGGATGGATGGAGATTTATAGCCGCTAGGAGACAGGCTGTAATCATACACATCGCCCCGTCTCAACTCTGTAACTGTGATTTAGCGTGGGAATTCTAAAAAGTTGCGCAATTCCCAGCGTATTCTCAGCCGAATTCTCCGGATCGCGCGATACGCGGTTAATGTCGCATCGCGGTGACATTCGGTGACACTCACGAGAGAAAGAGAGAGAGAAAGAAAAAGCGCGTTGCGAGAAACGCGTCTAACACCTTTCTATTCTGACGAATACGTAACACGAGCTGTTCGAGTTATAAAGAATCCTCGTGGATGTAACATCGATTGAGCCTCAGCGGGTGGGTAATTAAAGAGAGGAATATATGATCAATAAAATTTCTTTGCCGCGGGCGCCTCGAATTTGAATTTGTAATGCGACGGTCCTAAATATACCGCAGGTCCTCTTTTTTACCCGTATCATATAATCGAGCTTGTAAACAAATGTAGATTAAACTCATGTCATAAATTATCCCGCGCCGCGGGTCGCTCCTGAAACATCGATACCGTCGATTTCACGTCCGCGGAGCGCGCGTCCTGTTTGGTAACGAGCCTGGGACGCTTCTCTTCGACGGAGATTTGTTAAACGCCATATCGAGTGAGACGTCCGCTCTGAATGATCACCGTGGCTAAATTGCGGGTTAACTTAGGTCTACGGGTTCGCGTGTTCGCGACAGTCATGCCACAGGGCCGAGTCATGTATCGGGCGAAACCGGAGAAGGAAGAGAAAGAGGAGGAGGAGGAGGAGTACGATCGGTGGGAGGTGGATGGACCGTGATACGACGAGCTCGTCATCTTCGCCAAATTCGTACGGCCACGCGCGACGCGAACTCCCGCTACGGCTTTATTTTTGCGCCCGACAGCAGCTGACGGTTATAAATTGGAATGTAATGCGGCTGGCACGCGACGGACGTCGCTCGCCTTTGTCTGCGTCGGCGGAGATCCTTCCATGACTAATTTGTTTCGACAAACAAAGCGAGTTCCTTGAACCGCGCGTCTCCTCCACTTTCGACGCTGCTGGAGGGCTTGTGATCGCGATATCGCGCGGTGTATCGTATAAATTTTTTTTTAAACACCCTCTATGGTTATCGAACGCCGTTCGATCGTGAGATGTTGTTAGTGAAAATTTTGATCGTCGTATAATTGTTTCATTGTCGCCGAACGATTTCGTACGATTTCGTACGATTGCCCTTTTTTGAGAGGTATTCTCAGATTGAAATGGAGATTTAGAGAGAGAGAGAGAGAGAGAGAGAGAGAGAGAGAGGAGAGAGAGAGAGAGAGAGAGAGAGCGAGAGAGTGAGCATCCTCTCAACGTCGCGCTATCCGGTTCTGCCTACCACCACGGCTCGTGGCGGATGTTATAGATAGGATATAGGCACGTACCCAATAACCCCATCACGTCGGGGATGCTTCCTCGGTATAAATAAATCAATATAACTCGCTTCCACCCTTAGACGCCGCCCTCTTTCGCCGTAAGGAAGTGACGTATGAGGCTCGCATCCTCAAGGCGAGGGTTGAGGAGGCCACCCTGTTATTTCACAGTTAGGCTCGTCCTCTCACTCTTCCCCTGGCTCTCTCAAGCATCCTCCTTCCTCGTCGTCTTCCACCATCCAGACCGACCTGTGCGTCCCTAGTGCCGCTTCCAAGCGCACACGAGTCCCACGGGAAGCTTTTGTCCTCGAGCTGTAAGCGACTTCCTGACAGGCCAAGTTTGCACCTGCTCTCCTTCTAGCTCGCTGTCTCTCTCTCTCTCTCTCTCTCTCTCTGTTTCTCTTCTGCTCTCTCCTATCCGGTATCTCTTTCGTTCGTTCGTTGTTTCGCGTCTTGCTCTCTCCTTCTCATTCTCTTTCTCTCACTGTCTTCCCTTCGCGAGCTCCGCCTAACCTTACGTTGCTCTGCACCACCACTGTCACCGCCACCACCACTTCTACCAGCACACCACCACCCACCGACGTTACCGGCGCGTAATTTATTCGGGATGGGTATCTTTTCTCTCTCTCTCTCTCTTTCTCTGCATCTCGTGCTTCCTCTCTCTATCTTCGACCGAAGGTAATCCGTAGATCAGTGCGCCGGATAAACCAGGCGTGTCGTTACGTACG